TCTTAGTTTTGATTCGAATGCGGCTTTCACTGGGGCCACCTTTCATTTGCGAGGAGTTTAAAACTAAAGGACATCGCCTCACGTGTCATTTAATTAGATTTCTAGGTCTTAGGAAGAAGATCGCAGCTTAACTAAACTAAAGCACCGCTGACGATCTATAAAACAACATTTGCAGAGATATAGTAGCTTGATACAAGTTATACTCGTGTATCGACTGAAAGTATAAGGCTTATTTACGACTCATTCCAAAATAGAACCGCTCATCCTGTTTGGCGTTCATTCATCATCATCCAGCATCTGCCGGTCTGCCAGTATGCCAGCCTGCCTGTCAACACGCAGGGCCATCGCAAATTCAATTATTCGAAATACAGAGCAGCCTGGCTGAGCCGTCGAGGAACACTGAACGCATCAGACACTGGTGGGTTTTATAAATTGGTGTGTGCTGAAATTTAGAATTGTCAGGTCAACCAGCGGGACATTTGAGGGCCTGATAGGGCCCAGGCATCAGGAAATTAGAAACGCATGCCACTTGGTGACCAGGACACAGGGCAGGCCCATGCCGCACTTCGACCCAGAAAGAGGCTGCAACAATGAAATCCGAAGCCCAAATGCAAGGCTATCATTGCATTTCCTGAGCGAGGGGTGAAAGAGCTGGGCGGAGGCCGAGCTGTTAAACGAAATCCATTGCAGCATTGTTTGCGTTGGCCAACACGTTTGACTCCCATTTCCGTTTATGAATTGCACCGCCCGGGAGCAGTGTGGGATAGCATCTGGGATCTGGTCGGCCGGACTGGGATGAGCAGTTTAGGACTTAAGTCGACAAGGAAAAGTGGCCTTTAATGAGTGCTCTCCATGGGAAACGTGCATCAAAGAGTTGAAGACGCGCACACGGAATTCAATTTCAACGCCGCCTCAGACCTCGATTCGACTCCGACTGGGGGTGCCAGAAAAGCACTCGTCGTGTAAATTCATAAAACGAATTGCTTTATGGCCCTGCCTGCAAAAGTCGACAGAATCTGCGACATGGAGTATGGAAAAACGCCCCAGACCGACGACTGCAGCCGACACCAGAAGTCGAAGTCGAAGGCTCTCCACATGTCATCCCGTTCGCCAGACTGGGGGACTGCCAAAAACATGGAAAAACGGAGTCCCCCAATATGTTTATGGCCAAAGTTCAAAGACTTTTGTTTGTCTTTTGATGGGGTGCAAATTGAAATTGAATTTGGCCGGGTTAAACGCAAAAATCGCCTTCTATGAGCCCTCCCATCCCCATCTGGTCCCGGACCTCCTCCCCCGCTCAGCGCTGTCACAAAAAAGCAAACATTCGCAGGAAGCGCGCTCGAAATATTTCAGCCACATAAATCATAACAATGGCCATATTGTATATGTAAAACTGCATGTAACAGCGGCAGCGGCAGCGGCAGCTGCATGCCGCTCCCGAGCGAGTGTGTGCCTCTGTGCCACCACAAGCAAACAAAAATCAAAATCAAATGCTTTATAAATCTGTCCCAAGCCCTGAGAATTCGCGTGAGCTGCTGTGGGACACACTTTCGAGAGAGACAAATCCAAATTACCAGCGCAAGGGAAGAAATCGGTGCCTCAACGATCGTAGATTTTCGAAGGAGTTTTCATTTTCAGAACTCCATGACTAGGCCCTTCCTATTAGGCTTGAGCTTCTTCAACATATATTGAAAATACACTTTCCGCTGAGTATCACAGCTTTTTCATCACAACAAATGGTTCGCGACACTACAAATAAAAATATTTGATCAATAATTGGCTATAGTAACTTAGTAAAAAGTAACACCCATAAATGGTTAGTAATGGAAAATCCGCTAAAAGATATCTTATTTGTAGTATATCTGTATCTGTATTGTAGTTTAATGTTAATGTTAATATCGCTATAAATATAATTGTCATAAAAGGAACGCAGAATCTGAAAAAGGTTTTTTAGAGAGGGTTCATGGTTTTGTTTTGCAAGCCAGTTTAGTTTTCTCTCCCATTGTGTTCAAACTTTTTCGTAAAAAACTTCCCTTGCTCCACCGCAGTTCCCCGGACCGTCCGACGCAACTCTTGCAATAAATTGTCAATTTTTGAAATGTTTGCAATGTAGGCGAGGGCAATTTTATGGCCATTTCGGAGCTGATTTAATGCGCTAAGCGAAGGGGATTAGCCGGAGTCGTAAATCTGCCGTTAGATGGGGCGCACGTGGCAAACGTGCTGGAATCCCATCCTGGGCAGCCGACACTCAGAGCGGCCTTTTCATAATTAAGTGGCGCATTGTTGCAGCCCGGAGGCTGGTGGCAGGGTGGGTTCTCGTGTAGCATCATTAAGACACGTGGGCGGATCATCTTCCTAACAGGCACTTGAACATCACACGGCAAGCAGAAAGTGCAATTTGCGTTGACAACATAAACAGCCCGGGGCGGCAGGGGCTTGCCCTGGCAGGATGTTGCAACAGCAGCGACTCGAGTGTAAGCAGCGCCAAGGATAAGCCGCGGGAATAATGCTCGACATGCACAGAGTGCTGAAACGAGGAGCAACGAGGTCTCTGAACACGCTCCGTTACCCACTTGGCCCGCGGGCCAAGCGGTTTTCTTAGCCGCCTTCGAGGATGAGTCCCAAGATGATGGGCTAAGGGGGCTGTGGGGCTGAGAGGTATGAAGAGGCCTGCATTCGCTTAGTACAAGGACAAGTGGAAACTATCCAAGCAGATTTCTTTCCGCCCGAAGGCCACAACGAATGCCATTATAAATGTCGGAAAGTTAAGCAGCAAATGCATGAAAGTCAAGTGGCGGTTTATTATTTCCCACTCGTCCTTTGCCGCTCTTCAGGACAATTAGAAGCGCCCGAAAGCGTGCTGTGCTGTCCCTGACTGCTTCATATTTCATAGCGAAATGCAGAAACGGAAGGGTCCGGATCCCAGCAAAAACTATAACAAGTGGTTAGCTCGACAGTGCAACTGTGACAAAACACAGCAAAGGACATGTGTAAAGGAGCACTTCCAGGACAAGCAGACTGTCAGTGGCCGGGGCGCCACAAAGAAACAAACGACTGGGAAAAGCATTGAGGCGTTGAAAAACAAAACCCACAGAGGAAGCATTTTAACCAGTCTTGTCGAGTCCGCCGGTGGCATTCTTCCTGATGGGAATACCGGAGAGTTCCTTTTCCCTTATCGACAGTTTTTGATATATTGAAGTCGTCTAAATGGTGAATCGGTTTCTGGGAAAGGTTGTGAAATTAAAATGACCTTCAATGTTTTTATATAATCATAACCCTTTTCCAAGTACCAGAGAAGTCGGCCCACATATTAAATATAAATATTTCGAGGGCATCACCGAAATCCGACGTTACTAGAAAAAGATCAAACATACAATTGTAAAACATTACACAATTTCATTAAATAAACAAGTTGTATTGAAAGGAAACTTACTAATAGGTTGTATAAGTTTCTAAAAAAATGCAGCAATGGCACTGGATAACTTGGATGAAGATCCTTTAGATCATTTTAGGCTTAGACGAAGAATAAGAAATATTTCAGCCAACCTTCAACGGTCAATGAACAGAAATCAAATTCATGAAGGAAATTAACACGAATTTAAAAAAACTTTAGCGAAGATAGGGCCGAAACCCTTTAAACATTTTGTATTCATATGAGGAGGAACTTGTTAGAGCTACGACCAATACAGGGTCATCTATCAACATAATGACCTAACATTTTGGCGATAAAGATAAACAAATGAAAAGTTGAAAGAAAAGAAAATAATTAAATAAAAGTGTCATTGGATACAAACACAAATTTTCCAAAAATGATGGCCTTTTGGCAGGCATTATTTGAGTAAATGTGAAGAGGTCAGATTTGTGAAGGTGTAACAGTGGTATTAGGAAACTTACTTAAGTGCGCCCTAACCAGGATCAATCATTTGATTTTGCCATCAATAACGATCTGAATAATGCCATGAGTTCAGATCAGATCACTTGAATGAGGAAGGAAACAAAAACTTTAGGGTTTTGGTGGAATATAAAGATATTCGGTACGAGAAGATGGAAATTTTACAAACCGAATATATAGAACCAAATACGTATAACCCAAATTTCTTAATAAATTGTAGAACAATGTTCCGCTCTGAAGTATTTTCAGTAATTCGATAGGTATTGACAAACATATTTTTTAAGATCAAACCCAAAAAATATCGTTATATAATGGCGACACAGTTTTTGCGTTTTGTAGGCGTTAGTGGGTGAGGCTGAGAAAACTTATGCTATCTGCCTTTCTATATCTCTCTCTCTATATATATTCCTATCTGCGTGGTTAGAGTGGCGCATAACTCAAGTGATCATTGGTTTGGGCTTAGCCGGATGTGTAAACACTAATCTAGTTGTTGTAGTTCCCCAAATCTTAGCGTCTTTATTTTATTGTGGGCGTTAGATTAGACGTGTCCCGATGCTGAATGGGACTTGCGCTGCCTAAAGATTTTTAGAATATGCATGCTTTAGTTCTCAAAACCCTCCAAGATCTTACTCGCCTAAAGCACCTTTAAACCTTTACGTTAAGATGTATCTAACCTTAGGCAATCTTTTTGTGTTCATTTAATCTTGTCTCTTATCGTCTGCGTGGAGTTTTTGAGTTTAAAAGTAAACTTAGTCTAAAGACTCGTAACTTAGCCCATTTTGAGAGCACAAGTTTTGATTTTTAAACTTACATTTGTACATTATTGATCGATTTTAAAGTACAAAAAATGGATTTTAGATTTGTGTCCAAACTTTAATCATTCGCATGAATACTTCATTTTACTTGTTCGTTCTTTTGAAGGGATGTTGGATAATGGCACCGATGTCGCGATATAAACTACATTTCGGCTTAAGACGTCAAACTATTTCCTAATGTTGATACAGGTTAGGTCGATATTGGGATACTTATTCCTTAAAATTCTAAACATATTCAGTCTAAATTAAAACCATATTCAACTTACATTAAAATGATCCTTCTGCATGGTAAGAATGCTTAAACTAAATACAATTTATTAAGTGCACATGCAAGGCATCGCAAGACGAAACATTTGCGTTTCCTATCGAGTGCAGCACGTAACTCTGGGAGAAGGGTTAAAAGAAGAAGAAGATTACATGCCGAGGCCGCCCATGCCCATGCCACCTAGGGCACCCAGGCCAGCTGCAGCTCCTGCAGCAGCTGCGTCTTCCAGAGGCAGCTCCGTAACCACAGCTTCGGCCGTGGTCAAGAGTGAGGCGACTCCGGCGGCATCCGAAATGGCGGTTCGCACTACCTTGGTTGGGTCGATGATACCCCGCTCGATCATGTTGCCGTACTCGCCCTTCAGAGCGTCGTAGCCGTAGTCGCCGTCCAAAATCTCCACCTTAGCCACCACCATCGGTCCGTCCACGCCGGAATTCTTAGCTATCGTAAGACAGGGCATGCGTAGCGCCCGCCGGATGATCTCGATTCCCATGTTTTGGTCTTCATTGGCGCCTTTCAAGTCGTTCAGTTTTTGGATGCAGCGTAGAAGGGCGGTGCCGCCGCCGGGAACAATGCCCTCCTCAACAGCCGCCCGTGTGGCATTCAGGGCATCGTTGACGCGGTCCTTTTTCTCGCTAACCTCCACGTCACTGGATCCACCCACACGCAACAAGGCCACGCCGGAGGACAGTCGGGCCAGTCGCTCCTGCATCTTCTCTTTTTCGTAGGAAGATGTGGACTCCTTGATGGCTTCGCGCAATCCCTCCACCCTCTTCTCCAGGTCCGCCTTCTGGCCCTTGCCCTTGAGCAGCATTGTATCATCTTTGGTGACCACCACTTCGCCCACGCGCCCAAAGTCGCTTAACTTGACGTCCTCAAGTCGCACCAGATTGGCTTCGTCTCCGAAGACGATTCCTCCAGTGGCCACTGCCATATCGGCCAGCATCTCCTTCCGGTTGTCCCCGAAGCCGGGCGCCTTTACAGCGCATACCTGGAGGCCAACCTTCAGACGGTTCACCACCATGGTGCTGAGTGCCTCCGCCTCCACGTCCTCAGCAATTATGACCAGAGGCTTGCGCTGGGCGTTGGCCAACTCTAGGGCCGGGACGATGCTCTGTGCCGACTTAATTTTCTTTTCGCAGAACAGTAGAAGGGCGTCCTGGAACTCGGTCTTGGCCCCCTTGGGTACGTTGATGAAGTAGGGAGATATGTAGCCGCGGTCGAACTTCATCCCCTCGATCACCTCCAGCTCGTCGCAAAGGGTCTTGCCGTCCTTCACCGTGATGACGCCATCGCGGCCGACCTTCTTAATAGCCTCACTGATGAGATTGCCCACCGACTTGTCGCCATTTGCCGAGATCGTGGCCACTTGGGCAATCTCTTCTGGCGTCTTCACAGGACGGGACATGATCTTCAGGTTGTCCTTGACGGTTTCAACAGCCAACATCACACCGCGACGGATCTCCACCGGATTGGCGCCCTTAGAGATCTTCTCGAAACCCTCCTTGGCAATAGCGCGGGCCAAAACGGTGGCCGTGGTGGTACCATCACCAGCCTCCTCGTTGGTATTGTTGGCCACATCCTGGACCAGCTTGGCCCCGATGTTCTGGAACTTGTCCTTGAGAGCAATAGACTTGGCGACGGTCACACCGTCCTTGGTGATCTTGGGCGAGCCCCAGGACTGCTCGATGATCACGTTGCGTCCCTTGGGTCCCATGGTCACCGCCACGGCGTCCGCAAGCACGTCCACGCCATGCAGCATCATGGCCCGCACCTCCGGCCCGAACTTAACATCCTTGGCATATGAGCGGGACCAGAGGGCGTGACTGATCCTCGAAGTACGCCACAACGTGCTGGTGCAACTGGTTAGCAAGCGCATCGTCACGGCTTGGCGGTTCAAAGGGTTAATGGGTAGGTCTCCTTTTGCCTTTTCGTTACGAGTATGAAAGCGTGTTGAAGCTCCAGAGCTCAAATGTAAACTGGGGATCTCGGATGTGAAATGCTTCTGACAAGTAGATGCCAGCCACCCAGCCAACTTTGATTTGGAAATGGAAGCATCTGCTTTTTGCTTACATAAACTGGTTTCATATGATAGCTTATTGTTTTGAGTGCTTAAACTTAGTAGTTACGAAAGACCTTTTCAGGGTTTTTAAAGCTTTTCTGTTGAAGAAATTATACCAGGGAGAAACATCTAAAACCACTACCAGATAGATCCCAACCCTCCTCTCCACTCCTGCCCCTTCCAATGAACCTACCTGGCGACAATTTGCAACCGAAAAGTGAAAACCATTTAAATAGCCGTAGAAAAGGGCCACGACAGCGACCGAAATACAATAAAAGCCAACGGGGAATGGACCCTCCTCTCCTGTTTCCAAGAAACATAAGCTCTTCGCCGGGGTATCGTTCGCTAGTCGCTGTCAGCTGCGCTTACAAGCGAACGGAAAATTGAAAACTGGAAAACTGTCGGGGCAACGTAAGGCGAGCCTTTTGGCTCAGGACATCCAGGATCGGGGGTGGGACACCAGGCACCGAAGACAACCGGGCGGACAGCGACAAATGGCGGTGCTTGTTCATGAAAATTTAAATTGCAAAATGGGCTCCATGGGTGGGTGGCTACACCGCCTTCCGTCCCCTTCCATTCGCTAATATTTGCGTTTTAATTACCTGGAAAAGTGTCGGGACGTTCCTGGATGAGCTTGGAGTTAAGTGCAAATTTGCTTTCAGCATGTGACAACAATGACGTAATGCGATAATTTCCCCAAATTGTTATTTGTTTGGGTCTTGTAAAGGTTTAAAAGACATCCGGCGACGAATAGATATACATTTCTAATAACTGTTTTCTGTTCGGAGCAAATTGTGTTGATTTCTAAAACATTCTCCAAAGTTTGTTAAGGATACTGTGACGAACACGATGTAGTGGATACCGACTGGTTGCATACTCTGCCTACGGGAACGGCCTAGCTCAGGGAAGAGGCAAGGGGGTCGGTTACTTCCTAATCAGCATCACCGCCACACAATAAAAATTTGTGACAGAGTAGGAAGGGCTACAGTCCTCTGGAAGGATAAGAGTCGAGACAGGAAACCTGCTGTTGGAAGAACTAAGGTGTGAGGTTCTTCCGCTTTGCCCGCCCTTCCTGTAAAGAATCAACAACGAATTGCTGCCGCCCTTACCCATCTAAATTGAAATCAATCAGCTCAGGTGCCCATAATAATTATAAATTTACTTCATTTCCAATATCAAAATTCAATACAAAAACATAATTGCTTCTTCTTCAGTCTCATGATTAACCCAAACCCTACCCTACATGGTCCTAATTCTGCAAAATGAGTTTAATCTAGCTTAAATTAACAAATTGGAATGTAATGTAAAAATGTGTAGATAAAGAATTATATGTATGTATGTAAAATAGGAGTTATCATTTTTATATGGACTGACTAATCATATTTTTTTCCTCTTGAGGCACTGTTACATGCTCAAGTCACAATGTTTACTCACGCAACCATCCCTCGAAGTCCGCAGGCCTGTAGACGAGAACGCTGGATGTGTTGGGGGTGATCAGGTTAAATGCGAATTAGATTATGGAGTTTTGATGTGCACGTTGCCCAAAATCTTATCAATGCTCTACAGGAAAAGAAGATGAGTCTATGTACGATCCAATATCATTTACAAAAAAATAATACAAATTAAAGTCTACTTAATAATGCCCTAATCCTGGCACAGCTTGTCGCGCTTCTCTCCTGGTTGTTGTTGTTATTGCTTAATCGTCACTATGGACGAGATGTCTGCTTATCTAACAGATGTTGGTTATCTAAAACTTCCTAGAATACTTTTATCATTATTCTATTCAGCGACCTATAAGTCGGCTCACCTGGAGTCTTTTCGCCACAACCACAACACAAGTGCAGCGGCGAACGGCTGGGCTCATCCACGCCAACGCTCGGCTACTGCTCTCAGACCCACTGGTGTAATATCCCAATCACTGGTAATATCCCAACTTCCGCGTTGGCGATATTCACAAATTATTCTGCGTTTGGACAACCTTTACCTTTGGCGTTTGATTGCAAAAGAACAAGCCAATTAGGCGGAAATTCGGTTGTCCAAATTGCCAGATAGACGGGGTTGCCAGATTGTTTGCCCTAACAGCTTTAAAGGGCTTTAACAGCGATCTGTTATCGACTTATTTTATTCGACTACTAACTTGTTTACCTTTCGAGTTTGTCTTCGCTGTTTATTTTTCCGAAAGAAAAAAAATCATATTCGTACCCTCACAATACTTTTATGGTTTCTGGCCATTTCTTTTCGTTTCGATCCTGAAGATCTCTCTCTAGTGCGGTCCTGACCATTCAAAGTAAATTGGTAAATTGGTTTGTACTTACAAAGGGATCACCCTAAGGTAATTAAGGGTTTAAACTAATACACCAACAGAGTGGAGTGGTATACCTTAGATTTTTTGATAAGAACTCTTTGATATTCAGTTAAATGGCTCGATTTTCAGAACGCTCATTGGACAGGGGAAACAGGAAGCCAAAAGGGGATATTCGTGAAGAGATTCTTAGTGTCTGAGAGCTGAATTGGTCAACGGTGGGGGATATAATAATATCATGACTCCAAGAGATATATGGGAACAAAACCAAGTCGGATTCGATAATCCATCTCAATCGGTCCACCCTCGCTAACTGGCTACAGCTGATGCATCTGATTTAATTACAGCTGCCGGCTAAAATTAGCAGGCATTAATATTACAAGGAACACTGACCTTTTAACGCGACTCTGGAGGCGGGGACATTGAATTGGAATTGGCCAAGAAGAGCCCACGCATCATTAGGGAAATGGCAGCGAAATTAAAGAAAATTAGCAGTTTGTCGTGCGGCTGACTGGGGATGGCAAATGAGGCACATTTATTCGAATGTAATCCATTATGAAATCGCATAATGAAGAGATTAGCACACGCATTTGGAGCGCAATTAATAAATGACCCGAAAAAGGACAAAGACAAGGCAGGCGAACTGACCTCTGTCAGTCCATTTGCGTGTTGGGCCCACGAAGAAATCCAATAAATTAGGCAAACAGTAATCATTAGTTTTGTTTCGCTCGTCTATGTGGAATATATATATAGATATAGTATATATGACACAGACAAATAAATCAGGTGGAGTTCTGGTCGTTGCTCCATTGATAATTACGTTGTCGGCGGGAACATAATGGGACGATAACTCTCGGCACTTTCGGTTTGACACAGCTGGCTCCTTATTAACCCATTGACGCCCGGCCTTTGTGCTAACTCTTCAAAGTAATGTGCTCCCGAAAGTCTTTGCACTTCAATTAACTTGTCTTTTTGGACTTAACCCAGCGCACCGCCGTCCAAGGACTTTCCCAGGCGCGATTTTCCCTTTTCTTTCCACGTTTCCTCTAATCGATAATTAACCACAAAAACTTGGCACGCAACAGGAAAGGGGGTGGGAACGGTAAATGGATCGAAAAGGGGCACTGAGCCTAAGTATAAAGAGGGTAATGGCACGGCACAAAGTTTAATTAAAACAAGAAAGAAATCTTAGCACCACCGAACCGACTTCGAGGTACCCATTACTCACTTCCCTGTGCTACTATTATTATTAAGTTTAAAATCCATAACACTGCAATGCATTGTGGGAATGTGTCCATGTTTAGATATTTGTATTCCATTGGAGTCGATTTTTTTCCCCTCATACTTACTTCCCACCATGAACAGGTTTCCCTCTTACTACACGAGAAGAGGGTACTAATACGTGCTGCGTCGGGCTTTGCTAACTTAAAGAGATGGTCGAAATCTTGCCAAAGTTGAAAGGAAAATTTTAAGCGGATTTTCTCAGAAAGTTTATTAGTTGATTGGGAAGAAAAGGGGTCAAATTATAGGGCTAAATAAAAAGAGTCTGTTAAGGGCGAGTAACCCTTTTGGTTTGCAGGGCACTGATTATGAGAGCAATTTCGAAAATATTAAAATTTAGAGGGGTTGGCCTAGGTCTGACTTTCTTAGACGTTATTTTTTAAGAAATAACAATTCTCAATTTAACAAATAACCCACCCGAAATACCCACATAAGCTAGACCTTGAATTTATTTCTGGTGAGGGACAAGATCTAATGTGATGAATGTATCGAAAAGTGAAGCACGGGGCCGGACCATAACGGTGGGCAAGGAGTTCGAGATCTTTCCTCTGGTGCAATTGCCTGGTTGTTTGGTGTGGTCAGCTGGGCACGAGCTGCATCCCTCTCTGGCTGGCCGCACATTCTGTGCTGGTTCTCCTGGTCCTTTGCAGTTGGCTGCACACTTTGATTAGCCGAAATGGCTTGGGGTGGGATAGGCTGCTGTCTGGCTTGGTTTTTCACACTCCGACCCCTGACCCTGAACCACTCACCCACCTGATCCACCCCTGCTATACCCAGGAGCCACCATGACCCGCCTACCACCGTCTGGGCCTGCTCACATGAGCCGGAAGCGCATTATAAAGGGCATTTCCGGTATTTAGGTTAGGTTGCTTGACTGGGGCTGTGCCGTGCTTGGTATTATTAGTTCGGCGAATTCGGCGCGGTGGCTCATGGGGAAGTCAGGTGGAAAAGGTCACACCGGGTTAAACATGGCGTGTGTGACGGCTTTTGGCATAAGAAATCTACCGAAGGGGATAACAACTTTCCACTTTATTCCCTCGGAAAACAGGCAAAAGTTACCCAATCGAAAATTATGCTGTCTGGCTGGATGAAAAACAAGTCCAGACTCCCGATGCAGTGCGTTCCGAGGCAATCATAAGTCCGACACATCCCGAAAACTTTTCCCCGATCGAAAAGTTTTGTCTTAACGCAGTCATCGCTTGCCGCCAAATTTGAAAAAAAGTAGGGGAGAAGCGAGTTTGAACTGTCGAAAAAGTGTTTTGGGATAAGCGCAAACTTTCGCACACAAACGATTTTTGACGGTCATTTTAATAAATTGAAAAC